GTTGTACAATCGGTTCAATGCAATACGGCCGCCGGAATTACGTTACGTTTCTACATCTATAGAAGTATTTGAAACCCGGTTTTTCCCTCAAGAACCGTAAAATTTGAGCATGAAAACGGTCGAGGGAGTTGAAAGTCGATCCTTGGTACATTTCATGTCCTAATCTTCATTTGAATGGTCTGTAGGGGTGTACAAAGCTAAAAAAAAAAAATACTTTCCTCTCGCAAAAACACGATGGAATTTTTATTGAAATTCAACCAAAATTGTATTGCTTTAATCCACTTAGAAAAATACTCTCATGTTAAATTTCGTAACAATAATAATGGAAAAAATCATAATATTTCTATAGGTCTTTTAAAGATTTTCAATAATAAACGGTAATGCATTTTTACAACAGTAATGTGAAAGTTCGATAGTGCACGGTGGATTTTTATCCCGGAAATTCGTTATCACAATAATTAACCGGACGAGCCGATACGACTTTTTAGTTTTTTTTCCGATATCCGACATCCGAATATTTGCTACCGATACGTATAATCTATAACCATTGACCGAACCGATATTCGATATCGAAAACTGCGAGCCGGATATCGGGATGAACCGTCATATTGAAATCCGATGTTCGATATTTACCAATATTGTTCGTGTCAGTAGAACACCGCGGCCACGAATGCGCTCGCAATCGATCCGTTTGGACAACAGGTAACATTTAACATTTGAAGTTTGAAACGGTTTTCCTATTGTAATATTATTGTCGAAATTAGACGTTTATTTGAACACGTGAAATATGTTTTAAAAAAAAAAAAAATTATAACAATAATCGTTTCGAAAACGAATCGGGTCCAATATGCGTTTTGAAAAAAAAAAAATATCCTAACCGATATCCTGTACTCAAATGTCCTCAATATACCCCGGCGCGTATTATCCAGAATTGTATTTCGAGGGGGGGGGATATGGGAGGGGTGCTGATCAAAATGTATAAACGTCGTCACGCAGAAAAATATATTTAAAGCGTCGCTTGAGATAACGTTCATCGCAACGTGGGTAACGCGTCTGGTAAGCGGTTTTGTAGGTTTTTAAAATCGATAAAAAATAATTCGGGACCGTCGCAACGCCGTTCACAATCCATACGGAAACGATATTTGGACTTTCTTGAAATTTCCGCGGGGCCACGGCTCGGCGCTCCTCCCCCCCGCCGATATTACGCCGATGTAAAATTATTCAACGCCGGCGCCCGCCGCCAATATCCGATAGTGACGACAGTGAATAATACTGTCGTACCGTCCGGACGCGACGAGTCGACAACGTGGCTTGCGCGCGTTGCTATTTGCGCGTTGCGGCCGTTACGCGATTACACACCCGTATAAATATTATTCTTGTTATTATAATTGTTGTTGTTGTTGTTGTCGTTGTTGTTGTCGTCGTCGTCGTCGTCGTCGCGCGGGCGGACGGACGGCGGCTGGGAGACTAGGCGCCCGGCGCCGAACGACTCTGGCGGCGGCGGCGGCGTCGGCGCGGGATCAAAAGGAGACCGGCGGCGAGCCGTAACGGTCGGAAACGGTCCGTCCGAGCGCCGGTCGCGGTGTCCCGCGCGACAAACGGCTCCGCGGGAAAGGCGACGCGGCCGATTTACCGCGCGCCGGAGTCGCGACAATAATAACGCGGGCGCGCGCGGAGGGGAACAGGATGCGCTCCGGGGCCGGCGCGCGTACTCGGTGGCGCCGTTTTAATACGCGTCGCGGCGCGGTTTTTTCGACGGGGGCGACGGGAATTTCGGGCGGGTCCCGGTGCGGTTTTTTCGACGGGGCCCGCGCGGTCCGGATCACGCGTGTGCGTATAAATACACGCGCGTGCGTTTGAAATGAAAAATAAAAAAAACGCCCGATTTTAATTGGCCGCGGCTGCGGCTCGCCGGGGAGATTCCGTTGACGGCCGCGGCGCGCGGTCGACCCGACGCGGCGGCATACCGTGTAAATCGGCTACCGTTGTCGTCGTCGACCGCCGGCGTTATCACCGGGGAAACCCGCGCGGCGAGCGTAAGCCGGTAAGCCGTGCCGACGGTCCCGGCGTTACGGTATTTCCGAGACGTTTAGCGCGGCCCGAACGCGGCCCGGCAATTCGCGTGGTATTTCGCCACGTCTCGCCGCGTTCGGATTATCGGATCATCGATTGCGCGTCGGTTCGGCGTGTTTGCGTGCCGCGCGCGATAAAAAGCCAACGGAAAAAACACGTTATTTTTCTCCGCGGCCAACGTTTTAGACGTCACGTTTTTAAACGCGACAACATCCCTTGCGGACACGCGCGACGTACGCGAGTGGGTACAGTCGTAAACGAATCGACGGGTATACGCCGCGTTACGCGGATCGAAAACACCCCCGCAATCCCGTTTTGAATTTGTCCGGAAGGACGAACGGTTTATCGTTGTCGCTGTTTACAAAATTATCGCTCAGTTGAAAAAAAAAAAAAAAATACAATGCCGATAAAACGTACAAAAAGTCTGACAAACCACAAACGGTACGCAATAGTACAAAAAGAACAATTCGAATTTTAGATTTTCACATTCTGGACGGTATAGCGAAAAATCATCCGTCGCTAAGATGACGGCCGCGTGACTTATTCGGTCGTTGAAAATAAAGATACAGAACTTCCGCGCCCGTGCATGAACAATTGTCTGATATATTCTCAATACATTTTCGTCGAGCAAAATGTTTCTATTCTTTTAACGCGTATCGCGCAGATTTTCCGATTTGTAATATTTTTTTTTGAAAAATTATCTCGATTGCTGACAATTTTTTTTTTTTGAAAACTTCTAACAGCAAATGACGATACGTCCTCGGTTTGATTTCCTTCGACTTCTTGGGCACTAGGAGAAAATATTACTCCGCTTAAAATCGTTTAAGAGTTGCTTCCCGATTTCGGTTTATTGTAAACATTTTCGTACGGCAAACATTCAAGTCTACGTCACAAAATCTACCGGGTCTCTACCGGAAAATATGTTCTCGTCGCAGCGATGTTATAAGCACAGTTTTCAATACGAGGAAATACAATTTTGAACATTTCTAAACGACATTATTGCTAAACGTTTCAACGTGAATTCAGTATAACATTTATTAGATTGCTAGAATGTACACGCGCGTTTGCCGTTCAGGCCGAAAAATAAAAAGCAACAAATTACACGAAACGCAATTATAAAAAAAAAAAATGCCTGAAAAGCCGTTCTTCGTTACGGCCGAAGATAATACTCGTCGTAATACTTATTTCGATCGCGTCTGTATCGTTTTTTTCCCCCGACTCGACGGAGGGCGTCGGAACACAATAATAATAATATATTTCTTCTCCGGTTCGCCGTATTCGTTTTTTTTTTTCTTCTTCTTAATAACGTTTTAAAAAATCTAGAAAACATCACAACACGTTCAATATGTAACGAACGGTCGCATTGCAATCGTACGACCGTAGTGGATAAATACATATTATATGTAGGTATAAATAATTATGACAATCCCTTTGACAGTATCGATACAAGTCAAAACGTACCTATATAAATGTATATTTTTTTTTCCCCCATACCATTTACGTAAACCGTTCCGGTGTATGAAATTATAAAATTCTCGGTTCTCGGTAAAAGAATAAAATGATTCGAAGAGAAACGTAAGAGAGACAGAGAGAAAAACGGTTTACGTATAGGTACGTAGGCATACACTAAATCGGGGTATTTGCGAGTTACGATCGTCTACGTCGGAATACGTTCGCATTTTTTTTTTTATATGATTTATGTGGAAAACGCAATGGTATTACTCGCGCGTCGCCGTCAACAGATAAACAATATGTTCCAGACAACCGTCGAACAAATAATATTACAATCAGTAGGCAATGTAACGGCGAACCCCGAAATCCTCAACAATATTGCAATCCGTTCAAATTATAATATCTATAGACGAGGCGTTGTAAATCGATGTTGAAAACAAATGTGTCCAGTACGAGTTACATATTCAAATTTATTTTCTATTCGTACACATTTTACAGTCGGCGAGCACGCGCGATGTATGACCCGAGTAAAAATAGGTTTCCCGTTAAAATATTTTTGAAGTGAAACTTCTTTTTAATTATAATTCGTGTTAGCAAAACACTATTTTTTTTTTCTTTTAATTGGGTTATTTATAGCTCACTCCGGGGATCAATTACGGGTGGAAGGGGAAACTTGGAAAAAAAAATACAACCTTATTTACACTATAATATAAACTCTAATCTTCTATTTTGTCTTTTTGCAAAAATATCTAAAACGTCAAAATTTGAAAATCATCTAAGATATCCAAAAATCTGTATTCCTAATCCAGTTTTTTTTTTTTTTTTTGAAAAAAAATGACCTATCTGAAGAGTATTTCAATCGTGAAAACATTACGTTATTTTGATTAAAACAAATAACAACAATAAAAACAATCACCAATCAAAATCCGTCTTCCTCATTACAATCGATACAGGTTTTTATTCGAAAACGGCAACAAGTTTTGAAAATAAACGCCTCAACTACACATTTGATTGGTTATAGTCAATGTTCGGTGGTTATTTATTTTTTTGGCGTGTCATTCAATCTAGCATGTGTATATATATATATAACGCTATGGATATGCATGCCACGTTAAAACGAGTTCAAACATGATATTACGCGAACGTGTTTTTTGGTGAGGCTTATTACGATAATTAAATTTTAAAAAAATTTAATTTTTACTAGTTGTTTTTTGTTGATTTTTTAAATAGTTTTTAATTATTTATTTCGGGGCTACGGAAAAAAAGATTTTTAAGCGTTTTCGTTTGGTCGATTGTAAAGACTATTTCAGTCTCGAACACTGGTGATAATAGTATTACGACTTGACAAGTGAGGCAATCTAGGTGCCTATTACAAGGCACAATTTTCAAAAAGGCGTCACACGAATAAAAAAAAATGCAAAAATCACGTAATAATAATAATATTAATGTATATTTAAAATATAAAATTAAATAAGATCATACCGACAGTATACTTATACTAATTATTCAAAACCGATTTAAATCACTAAATCTTTATCGTAATACACATCAATTATACTCTGCATGCACGTCGCAACGGTTTTATTATAATGTTGTTTTTCGGTGATTTCGGGCATTGGTTTCGCTACAGAATAAGAAGAACATGGTCCGCACAAACCATGCGCCGCTCACAGCCAACCGGTTAATATTTCCCCTGTGACTTTTGACTTACCGCCCTGTTTCCTCGGACTAGCAGTGCGTTTCGGAGATTCCGGTTTCAAGTGTTTGACGTCTTTGTCTTTGCCCGGGTCTTTAGTCTTGTCCGCGTCCGGTCCCTTCGTCTTGTCCGAGCCCGCCGCCTTGTCCCTGTCTGATTCCTTTGCCTTGTCCCCGCCCGAGCCCTTGTCTCCTTCCGGGCCCGTAGTCTTGTCCCCGTCTCCCGATCCTTCCGCCTTGTTCGCGTCTCCAGCTTCTTTAAGCGCCGATTCCTTGGAAGGTCCCGGCTTACCGGCGGCGTCCGCAGCAGCCGATTCCCGGGGTATGTCCGGCGCCGGCTTTCGTCTGTTCACCGAGTCGGGCCGACCACCCGTGTTCGTCTCTGCAGGCGCGACCGACTGATTTTTGATGTCTTCGAGTTTCTCCCCGGCGGCACCGGTACTCTGGACTTGGTTACTGGAGCCTGCGGGTTGCTGTGGACCGGACACTCCACCGGGATCGGTAGCGTCGGTCCTCTTAGTGCTGCCTGCAGGTGAAGACGACGACGGCGATGACGGATAGGGCAAAGCGCCGGCAGCCAAAGGCGACTTTCGTGTGCTCTTCGGCCTCGGTCTCACTATCGAAGACTTTGTCTTGCTGGTCTCGTCGATCACGTTCACGGCGGGCGCGTTCTCGAACACCTCATCCGCGCCAACGGTGTTTTCCTCTGCGTACTCTTGCTTGATCTTCGGTATCTTGAACTTGGCGTACGCCAACCTGGCCATCGGCGTTATTTCGGCCAGCAGCGGGTTGTACTCGATCAGCTTGTTCGCGTCCATCAGCGCGTCCTTCTGGTGGTCCAGTATATACCTGCGGACGCTCTGCCGATGACGCCTTTCTGCGCCCTCTGCCGTGCTGCCGATCGGGTCCCTGACCAAACTCTTCTGCCGGACCATCGCGTTCCAGTCTTTCTTCTTGCTTCCTTGACTGGTCCGCCGACCGATGGCTTTGGCGATCTTGCTGAACACGTCCTTCGGTCCCTTCTCGTTTGACGAGATCGCATCCTGTATGAGCCCTTCCACCAGGCCGATCTGGAAGTCTTTCAGCAACCGACGTTCCATCACCCGACCCTTCTTCCCTTGGGCTAATGCATAAAACACACGGTATCATTAAAATTTTAACAAGGAATAGGTATTTTTCAGTGCTTCAAATGCTTCAAAGGGGAAACTTGGACCCAAAGTGAAATTACAGGTTCAATAAAACATGCATATGCACAATGTATTACTGAAGTATCTGGTCCAATATAAGCTACCGAAGATTTAAAAAAATACACCAACTACGAATTTCTAAACTGAGAAAATTGTAGGAAAATTTATTGAAAATATTGTATACCACACTTGTAACAACAGCAATTGTTAACACTGTAGGTCGACTAAAAACATTTTTGATTAATCAACTCGGAGATGTATGCCTAATTAACCTATCTATTTGTATTGCATATGTCATAGTGTCATAGTAATAACGCTCCCTTCCCCTAATAAATGTCTAGTGGTGAATTTGCCCACAGTGAATATAATTCCGACATAAGTACGCCATTGGTAGTTCTAAATCCTTACTATAATTAATAAAATATATACAAAAGTTTTTTTACGTTTTCACAGTTTAACGACTAAACCGATTTTGATAAAATTTGATATGAAAATAGATTGTACCTTGGAAAAATACATAAAGTACTACTAACTAAAGGGGTTGATGACACGGATTTTTTAGTATTTTTGTTGATTTGTGGTTCCGAGGTGGCCGTACTATTATTGTAACATGTATTTTCGCACGAATTTATGTGTTGCGACGCCCGTACAAAGTATTGAAACAAAACTTTTGAGTAAGTGTAATTAATATATTAGTAAAACAGAATACGCTGCAGTTTGCCCAGTCCGTTCACTATCGTCGTCATGGTTACAATTTTGAATATAGGTTGATATTTGAAAATTAACTGTAGGTATTCGTTTCATACCCACAAATAATAGCGACGAAAAACAGTATTAATTCAGATTAAAACTAGAGGTAATTGAGAGACATAACTTAAATGGATAACTCTGTACAAATTTGCCCAATCTGATAGTACACTAGCACCGTGTTTAACGGTAAAGGAGCGATTGTGGGAATGCAAATTCCCCCTAATCTAATTGAACAGGTGTTCTTACCGACAGAAGGATCGTGTTCCTTGGCTGGTGTTTTGTACCCGTTCCGTTTGAATATGTCGATCATTTCGAACCTCATCGACGATATGTCTTGTCGTATTTCCATCACGTCGTCCTCTGTGATGCCGAACTCTTCGCTCTTGCGTTGTTCCGCGGTCACGTAACGTCTCACCAACAACCGCATGACGATGTCGTGCCGAGCCATCGCCTTCTCCCTGGACTTAAACTGAAATCAGATGCGTCGCGTTAAAAATTAGTATCAGAGTTATCGAATACGAACATAATGTTACAATCATCGATCCGGACGTCCGTTTCGTCTTCTCCAGGCCAATCATGCGTTTGATGTTCTTCAACGACGGGAACAGGTTGAAAGGAGCCGGTACCGTGTCGCCGTCCTCAAAGTACGATATCCACAACGAGCTCCGTGCAAACTTCCATTCCATGTCGGACCGTTCCTATTGTTCGGAAAAATACCAACGTCAGTGGCGTGCATAATATATCGGCATGATTAGAAGAATATTAATCAAAAATGTTATCGTTAAACTTACCGAAATTATTTGATACGAATTGGACATCATGGCGATGAGCATGTTAAGCAAAACGATTATGTTGATCACCGAATACGATCCGAACAGCAGCAAACCCCAAAACCTTGTAAAGCTCTTGATTCCGGTCAGATCAAATGCCATCAAATCGACAAGACCGAAACCGGCCCAAAATAGCGACTGAGACGTTTCGAATATACTGTGGAAAAATTGATTTTTCAATCATTTTTCGATCAAAAGCTATTTTTACAATTTAATGTTATTTTTTTAATACAGGTGTTATTAAAATTATTCACATTATTCATTTTTTTTTTTTGTTATTATTTTCTAAATATATTTCGTTATAAACATAAAATAATTATAAGTATATATGATTATACCTATAACTTTATCGACTGATACTATGCAAGTAAAGGTACTTATAACGTACTTACGAATTACAACGATTCCGGTGTAGCCAGGATTATTTACCCCCGCCCCCTGGTATATTTCACGATAGTTTTTTTTATAATAAAAGTAAAATTAATTTATTAACCTCACACATAAAATCTTACTAAAATTATTTTTAGAACCTTTTGACACCTTGATGGAACTTGTAGGCTGCATGTACATACTCGTAATATTAAAAAAATAAGTTAAATTAAATAAATAATTATTATTATAGATTTGTTTGTTAAAAGTCAAATTATTTATAACTAATTGTGTATAAATATATAAATCAAACAAACTATAATGTATGCGTGGAGAAATGACGCCTATGCGATTATTTTACCATAATATGATATTTATATATTGTTGACAAATGCTCACTGATGTCTCGTTTTTACGAGTCAATAATGATGATAAGAAGGTATACATACGATTATAATAAATCGTCGTCGCCAGCACAGGGCATAGATCGTGGTATGAATGGAAAATTATGAAGCGTACCTGTACATACGATATTATAATATGTATGAGGAACTAGGGGGGGGGGCTGTTAGGAATCAAAGAATGTGTACGGTGTACCTATACTGTAATTTTGTAATTGTGAACTACGTATTTAAATTCGTACATGTTTTATAAAATACATTCATATTTAAAAATGTAAAATATATTAAAATATGCGAACTTGGCGAATCGTCTCCACGTCGTGCACGCCTTGTCCTCTTTGTCAAAATCGGGCACGCCGCTTCCGTCGTGGTAACATTTTTTCGACTCCAAGTCCGCGTAATACCACAACAATTGATTTAGACCTGTTTGTAAGCGGCCCGAAAAACAAAACGACAACGTCTGATTAGCTGATGAATATTACGTATATCTGTGTACAATACACCGCCAAACAAAATGGTGAAATTCGGCACACAAAACGGTACGGCGGTGTTTGAAAGTTAAAACCCCCGAAATTCTCGTTTTTGACACGAATGCAATACATAAACTATGCTTCCCAAAGATGTTTTTTTTTTTTTTTTATGTACATTTGCAATTTCTTATTTCAAATCTTTTTAGTGCATTATGTTCACAAATCTACTTATCGACAACGGCTCCTATAATAATATTTAATAATAATAACAATTACCGCATCCAAATGCGCACAGCACCAGCGTGTAAATGAAGAAGAACTTAATGATGTCAATGATCATCCGGCCCAACGATATCTGAAGCGGTCCCAGGTGAGGGTTCACGCTGAATATGTGCACGAGCTTCAAGAAACTATAAAACGTCGTCGGCAAGACGTCATTATAGTAGATATATATATATATATAATTATAACCTCAGAAGCCATACAGCAAACGATTAAAATATTTAAAAAAATTATATTATCGTAATATTATAGTCCTTGGACATCGACCGTCGATCATACTGGGTGGGTATTTTTCTATGATCGCGAACTCACATGGTACCGGGTTTTATTATTTTTTTTTTATTAAAAAACGATCGACGCTAAACGGGTAGGTATATACAAGAGCAGTTTTGCAGTAGGTCAAGTACTTTTAGTAACAGGCTGCACCTTCACTTCAGGTTGCTTTTGATGAATGTCTATTGCGAATCCATCCATTAAAAAAGCTCCACTAGCAGACAAACCATCCCTTTCCCTTAACCTTTAGACTTACCCCAGTACCCTTTCCCCAAACAGTGGGAGTATTTTCTTTTTACAATTTACTCTAATTCAATAATTTACCATTTATTTTCTAGAGGACACACATTAAGCAAAATCGTATTATTCTGTGTATCTAATAAACTTCACTGCAGGAGCGTCTTCAGGAGGAACGCAAGGGCAATCATCCTCCCTCCCATACCTTGTAGCTTTTATTTGATTCGTTTTATATTTTTTATTTGTCTGCTTCTTTTCCATAAAAATATATGTTTGATTATTGTAATTTGTAAATTTGTACTTTTAACTTATTACTTGCTTTTTATTTAATATTTATCATATTGAAAACTTGGATTGAAAGCCATGTGTGACAATCATAACTAACGTTGGCACATGTACACAGGAAATAGAAATTAATGTAAATTGCATTATTGTATAATTGTATTTAGTATCATACACCACAAAAGTATACATTATGTACAGTGCATTGTTGCGATCGGAGGAGGGTATTTTGGGAGTCTGGGCAACCACCCCCCCCCTATATGCGTTGAAGTATTCTAAATTTTTTGAAGAGTATTAAAAACATGTTTTTTTTTTTCAATGTTGGTATACACGTGACACACCATTTCAACAAATCCTAGTTGCACCTCAGGTGCAATGTATATATTACTAATGAATTCGCATTCATTAATAACGAGTATACCTATTGCAACATAGCCATTATTAGATTATCTACAGAACAATAATAAAATAAATACCTAGTTACGTTTCAATATTTTTACATTAAATTGTATTGTTTCAATATTTAACATGTAGTTAAAATTGCCTATAACATAGGCTTTTATGCATATCCTACTTAATATTATAAATGTGAAAGTTCGCGAGGATGTGTGGATGGATTGATGTTTGCGATTCTTTCACGCAAAAACTGCTGAACGGATTTTGATGAAACTTTACAGTATTATTGTTTATACATCAGAAAAGCATATTGTAGACTATAATTTATTACGATATTGAGTAAATTGGCCAAATTATAATGATGCGCGTCAAGTAAATGATAATATAAATGTGAAAGTAAGTCTGTCTGTTATATTTTCACGCCTAAACCGCTGAACCGATTTCGATAAATTTCGGTATAGAGATAGATGGGTTTTTGGAGATGAAATAGGGGATGAAAGATTTTTTGGTACTTTTGGCGCGAAAATTAAATTATTTTTGTTGAATTATTGATTACTATAGTAACAAGGATAAAATTGAAAAAAAAAAGAAAGATAAACAGAAATAAAAATGCCATAACTACCTATAATAACTTAAAATAAAAAGTCTATCTAACTGTATACCGGTCTATTATTGGCTTGAAATAGGACGGGTTACCTTAGTAACATGAATGAAAAAAAAAAAACAAAAAAACTATGCGCTGTACTGGGTGCGTAAGTGAAAAGTGAAAACATGTAAAATGTCATCTCTGAATCTTTGTATTTTTCGGTTTAGTAACAACACTACAGTACTATTACGTCCACATAATTTTAGGGTTATTGTAGTGGATATATAGTAATATCCCTTTGTTGTGCGGGTATTTATGGTAACACAAATGAAAAAGTGTACGATACACTGGAACACTTTTAGTCCCCGGACTACCCAATTTCCACCCATTTTTTTTTTTTTTTTTAGCTCAATATACTGATACGGACAAAACAGGAATAAAGATAAAAATAATAAAAAATTAGCACGGGCAGTACGAGACAGCTAGTTTAATATAAAAGCAATTCATAAGTAATTTAAGATTAGGTGTATGCAAAGACTGAGTTTAAACCTTTAATTTGCACCCGGGGGGGGGGGGGCACATATTGGTCTAAGGACGCTCCTGCTTAACTTTGTGTACATTTAGATATAGAAAACTTTCTTAAAAAATTCTCCACTCCACTTCCAAAAGATCGCGAACAAATATTTCCTTGAAAACTACAAGTAATAATGTGTTTATTTTAGATTCTGAGCGGAGAAAGAAATATTTTAAAATTATGTTTTTTTTTTCTGTTAACAACTTTTCTATCAGAAAATTTGCTCTGGTTTTCTAGTAGTATAGCACCTTTTCCGATAGGAAATTTGGCTGGTGTGGTACTTTCGGGAGGTTATTTTTTGATTTTCCCATGAGTTTTTATAATAAATGGAAAAACCGGGGAAAAACGGGAAAATGTAAGAAATATATTGTTTTAAAATCTTAAATATTACGGCCTTTCAAAACATGTATAACTGAACACCGCCCAGAATCGTTTTTCATTAACAATGGTTAATCTTTGAGTACAAATATATATTAAATTTTCCCTCTATCTTCCCAACTGTTCATTTAAAACAGTGGCCCATCCCTTGAGCAAAGTATGTGTTTTTTTCTCCTAAGAAAATGTCGTTTTTACGTTTTCATTTTTATATAGTTTTAATATATAGTGTTCCGTAAAAAAAAAATTAATAAAAAATTATCTAGAATCTAAATACTCGTTATTCATTATTGTCACGACATTCAAATAGTGCCTTTTGGTAGTAATCGAATTTCGGTATTTCGAATTTACCTACTTTGATGTTAGCAAAGATTTAACACTATTTCTTTTTTGTATTCTACAAATGAACGTTTAAAATGTAAAATTTAAAACGTCTATGGTGAAAAGCGACGATTACGATAATCACGGACGTGTAGTAGGACGTATATAAATACCTGAATATCATGGCGGCGGCAAACGCTCCCTCGGACACCAGGTGTGGATCGAACTGATCCCAGTTTTCCCGCGGTAACCAGGGATCGTAGCCCTGACTATATTCTCTCTGAAATCAGACAAAACAAGCTATCGTGAAAACCTTACACCGTGCATACAGTGGCGTCCGGACAGGTGACCAAGTACTGCAACTACACTCAAAATTCTTCTGTGCGTTACTGGAATTTTTCATAAATGAAATTATTGTAGAATGCCAATCGTTTATTAGGCTATTTTACATAGATTTGTCTGGGTTAAAATGCAGTAAAACATCATTTAGATCCTCTAAATGAGATTTAAATACGTAGAGTGTCTAAGGAATATTAGAAAAATAAGCAGTAAATGATAAATTCTAGACAAAAATGCAGTAAAATACGTTGTGTAGTTTACTGATTATTCGTTTAGTAAATTTATTTAACGGCATGTATATTGCGTAGGTATGAATCTAGTAACCTTAGACCTAACAGTAAGCAATATTTACATGTTTATAATTGAATGTCAATCATTATTTTATAATTTGTAATTGCGCAAAAGAAACATATTTCAATGAGTTTGTTACTAACTTATTTGATTGGTTAGCTTTTATATTTTAGAATTTACTATTTTATTTCTAGATTCGTAAATAAGGTACTGTTAATATTTAAATTGTATGTAACACGCGGACTAAGTTATGATCCATTAATCATATCAGACATCGGTTTATAGTTTGTTTGCTGATCACATTACTATTTAGATTCCTAAGAATGAAACGTAATTTAAAAAAAAGTGATTTTTATTAATAAAATACATAGATACGTGGTTAAACAATGGTGTTTATAATTTGTTTTTATGTTTTTAAAAAAAAGAAAAAATATATAAATGGTTGAATTAGTTTGTACTGCTTTTTTAATTTTAGTTGTAATAATTTTTGACTATCACGAATGCAGTACCCACTAATCTTACCAAAAAGGGTATGAACTATAAATATTTGATTTAGGAAAAATAAAATTATCCAGAAAAATTTCTGAGTTAAATAACTACAAATAATTATCAAAATATTATTGAATAACATTGTTAAAAGCAATACAGTTCAAAAAGAAGAAAATCCCATTTACCAAACATATGCATTTTTGTAAAGTATCTAAGTACTACTTAAGTACCCAGGTATACTTACAACATTTTTGGGTTTTAATTAACTAAATAGATTTTACAAAAGCATCTTCGCTGGTTGATTTTGAAACATTTTTTTTTTAATTAGTAAAAACTTTTTTCCCATTATGAGCCGATAAGTTGGTTTTTTTTAAAAAAAAAAAAACAGACCGTTTTAGTAAAATAATACCACATTAATTATGAATTTCGACTAAGTACTAAAAAGAAATGTAAAACTATATCGTCTTAAATCTCACGCGAACTTATCTTGTAAACTACATACCTATTCAAAAAAAAGTATTTTATTACTTTAATACTTTGGTTATCTAGTACCATCTATTTCTAGACTTATTAAACAATACGGCAGCATACAAATTAATCAAAAATACATGTTTTGTAGATTGATAGTGAACATAATTTATTCCAATATAGAAAAAAGATTTGAAATTTAGCAAACAGATATATTTTTAATAATTATAGCCATATCTTAACCTTTCTTTAAAACTGAATGAATATTAAATGATGTTAAAAAATAAATACCTATTAATCAGTTTAAACAAGTTGTTATTGAATTTTCCAAAAATTCTCCTAGACCTTCCAATGAGAAAAGTGGCTGTGATCAAGAAGTAAATTCTATAAACAATGCATCTGATGATTTATTAAACTATTTCTTTTCTCTTTGGACTAAAAACCAAATTCCAATAATTTTTTTTAAAAATGAAATGTTAACTTATTTTTCAGTGCAGTTTTGACAAAGAAACAATGAAGAATGATAGACGCAAATTTTGAGAAAGTTATGAAGATCAAATATAATAGATATACTTATGTAAATTTAATAAAAATAGATTTATATAATTATTTATGTATTAATATAATAAAAATATGAATTATTTATGCATTAAACAGGTGCTGTAATAATTATTTGGTTTTTTCTAAAAAAAAAATAATATGATCGGTAATAAAAATCCAACTAAAAAATATATCTATATTTAAATAAATGCTGAAATAATTAAATATGTTATTCTAAATACTTGTTAACTCATTAGTTCAAATGCGTATTCTGAATACAAAATAAAAATATTCTTTATAGGGCTGTTGGTAGGTTTACTTTGCTACCTAGGTGGCTAGGTCCTAGGTTGATGTCTATTATTTCCTTATACCTATCATCCCAACTCCAATGGTCTACAGTATGAAAAATGTAGGCACCTACAATCAATAGATTATCTAAAAAAAAAAAATTGATTTATCATATTAACATTTACTTACATGCCTATTTTGGCCCAGTTATAAATAGGTACCTATTTACCTATGCAAGCATTTTAAATTAGAGATTTTAGTTTAGGACAAATAAAATTTAGAATTTGATACAATTATAATTACCTACCTATGCAATGATGACAATAAATTATATGTACAGAATTATACTCTTCGAGTAGTTAAGAATATACAGATTACTTATACAATTATACCTGATAAATATATATCCTACTAATACTATAAATGTCAAAATGTCAAAGTTTGTGAGGATTTATGGATGTCCGTTAGGTAGGTACTCTTACACGCAAAAACTACCTGCTGCACAGATTTTGATAAATTTTGGTATAGAGATAGACTTAACCTTGGAGAAGAACTATTTGATGCTTAAAACTTAATATTAAAGATGTTATTGATAAATTTACATCTATACATTAATACTGAAAAATTATTTTAATTGAATGTAATAATTAATATGTATGACTTATTGATAATTTTTTAACATTATTTTTATAATTATGTATCTATAGAGTACTTCTATTAATTATGTAGGCAGTGTATAAGTAACAAATATAATATAATGTATATACTAAGTGTACTATGGAGATCTGACAAATGCAATAACTTTTATTCTCTCAATATATGTAATATATATATATATTTTAAACTAAAAAGAATAAATAAAAATTGTTTAAAATATTGTTTTGTTGGCTAATTCTAAATAGTTGGATGAAACAAGAGGAGAAGATTGTTTTTAAAAAAATCCAAGATAGGAGTTTTGTAAATATGTTTCGAAATAAAACGTTGCTATTCTAAATATTTATTCATATTGTTAAATTTCTAAATATGTTTGAAGTTTACAAGAATCATTAACAAAATTATTTTTCATGAACAATGTGGTAATCTATTGATACTGTTTAATAGTGACAATGGAAAATTTTTAAAAACTTCAAACAATTGTAGAAACCTAATAACTTACATATATTAGTACATATTATATTAACACTAAATAAGTAATCATCAAAAGCGCACTAAAGTAATTATCAATTCATCAGTCAGAAAATATACAAAAAGTAATATAATATATAAAAATATATAATATACAATTAAGATACATAAGTACATTTTTCTAATGCACGAAAATAGACTTAAATAATACTTAGTTTAATCAAATAATAAAACAATTTTATGTTTCAAAGATATATCAATGAAAGTAACAATAAACACTTTGGCTCAGAACACAAATTAACGAATTCTACAAGTTCCAGATACTAAAAACCGGTTTACAGTATAGTATTACCATGTAGAAACATTAAAAATGCCAAGTGGTTCTATCTAGTTCATATATATCTTGTAATAACTCTATTGCTTTAACACCAACTTTATTGGCAATTTCATTTCGTTGTCTAGAGTTCATACAAGTGACAAACATCCAAACAAGATCACCATCAATTATTCTCTTAGCTGGGTTCCTCCTATTAGGAGCTGTAGCCTTAAAAGAGCGATAAGCTTTAGGGTTTAATCCAGCTAGATGTGTAAGATTCCGCACCAACATATTCTGCAATGTTAATAACCTCCTGTAGTTTTTTTCATGTATTGGTACAATATAACCAATCGAACCGTCCAATGTAGCGTACATAGTAACATGTCGCCTATTAGAACCAAGAGCTTCTCGTCTTTCAGCTGTCAATGTAGATTGTTTACAGCGGAGTCTGAAAAATGAGTTTACATTCGATCCAATATTTATATCACCACGGCGAATTAAATGTTGGCCACCATAACTTTCACGAGACATCGGTTGGTAAAGATAGAGAATTAAATTTTGGTACTTATCAGATGACAAAAAACCTAGTTCTGTATTATCAATAAGAAAATTAATATCATATACTTCGAGAGGTTTAGAATCTCGGCAAACTAAAGACAATGTACGGTATTCTTCCTGAAATCGTAGGAGAGTAATGGACTTGAAAAGATCAGCGACTAATATTAAACTTTTAATACTCAACATCTGATGGACATAAACTTCAGTATCTATAAACGCTATTCCAATTAAGTCGTTGTCTTTAAGCTGCCAAATGTAAATTTTTTGACCAACAGCAGTGACTAAAAATCCGACAACATGTGTAATAGCTGTAACAGGACCTTTCTGTTCTTTGGCATATATCATTTTTATTTTATTTTTAGTCAATGGTTTACCAGGTTCTGGGACAACATCGATAATATCGAATAAGAATATACGTCCTCTACTTGTGATATCTTCTGAATAATTGTAATTTGTGCCCATTGCTATATAACCCTTGAGACCACTACGAGCTCCTTCATAGGCCAAAGCGACATTTTTCAAACATGTTATAAATTCCCAATCCTCTGTTCGAATACTTGTGTCTGGTATCGGTTCCCAAGATGCAGGGGAAAATAGTTCTAATGTAAACACATCATAATTGGGTAGTGGAAAATGAGAATCACGTTGTTCAGTAGTCAGTTCTTTATCTTCTCCATTGAATTTATAATATGATGGAGATGGTTCTGTCGAAGATGTAACTACACAATATGTTTTTGTTTCTAAATGGTAAGCTATAAAATGTGGTGTTTTACGAAGTGGAACCTAAACATAAACATTTATTTATTAGTAAAAATTTAAGAGATCAATAATATATAAATTGATTTACATTGAATTTTTAATGATAATTTGATTAGTACATGCTAAATAATAATACAGCTGGAAATTAATTATTTTTATTCTGCGTTTCAGGTTTTATGATTTAGATTCTGAGATGCGCAAGAAATTTATTAGTTTAACAATGTGTGTTTTTCTGTTTGTAAACAACTTTTCTACCAGAAGAAATCTTTTTTGATCTAAATGATGAAAGAGTAATTTATTTTTTAATTTTACAAGTAGTTTTTATAATAATTGGTAAAAAATGGAAAAAAAATATTTTAAAAATGTTATAAAAATAAAATAAATTAGCTAACAATCAAAACATTAAACCCAACAATCAGAATTGAAAATAAAAATAAATTTGATAGAAGATCTTTTTTTAATACAAATCATTCAACAGATAATATTTGTATATTTTAAATATTTCTACTCAATTAAAAACGATTTCTTATTTCAAAATTATTACTATAAGTGTGTAAAAATTTGTTTTTATTTTTTCTAAAACTATTAAGTACCAATAACACACATAGGTTTTTAATGAAAAACAATTTATATTTTAATAATAATGCATAATCAATAGGTTTTCATATAGTTTATTATGCTTAAGTATTTGTTTATTGTGATTTAATACAATTTTAATTTGTAAATTATAATAGGAAATTATAGTAATTAAAATGGTTATCTGATTTATGGCTTATAGGATTTCAATAATTTCAGTGAAAAATTAAAATATAATAGATTCATTACGTTTTAGATAATTTCTTTAAAAATAAAATGTTATTCATTTAATTTTAAAATATAGTATATTTAAATATGTTATTTTTAATACTTATTATTTTAGGGAAATTATACAAATTGTATATAAGCAAAATAAAAAATGATATATACATTATATAACAATTTTTCAAACTTCTAGTATGATTTGTATTAATAAAAAAAAAAAAATAAATAAGACAAATGAAATATACCTTTCTTAATGGCCAAGGTTCATCATATGATAAATGTGTAGGTAGTATGGAAATTCTTAATTTGTTATCAGAGTTGAAATATAAGAATCCCTGTGAGCAGTTAATATTATGAAAAGGTGCAAAACAAACAATTGGTCCATCTATGTGTAATGGATGACACCGTAGTTCACCTCGTATAGTGAGTAATACTAAATGAGGATTTTGACCACATATAAAAACGCCATTGTAGCCAGCAACTCTGTTGAAATAACGAAGCAATGCAGTGCCTTCCAGACGGTTATCAGATTTTGACTGAAATGTTAACAGTGAAGTAAGCTTATGAAATCGCATCTTTAATGTACCTTCTGGGTGTCTGTGTATACCATAAATAACCACCTAAGAAAAAAAACAATTAGTTTATGAAATCAATAAACTATCAAATATTTTATTAGTTTTTGTTTTACCTCATTGTCTAATCTAACAAATAATAAAGGCCTTTTATCTTGATATCCAAGCGGCACAAGCAAAATTTCTTTTATTAACTCAGTTCTTTTAGGAAAATAACAACCTTCTTCTAAACTGTCTTTAAGAACTGCAGGTGATTCATCTATGTCAGCAGCTCTATATTTTATTTTAAAATCAGGTAATGTATAGATTTCCAAATATCCATTATCTCTAGTCAGAACAACCCAATATGTTGGTATCGGTTGTTCTATAAACTTTAACCACCACATAAGATTTTTATTTGAAACCGGTTTATGAGGTGTTTCATTGGAGGATGGATCTCTTGTATCGCCATACAACATTTCTTCTTCGTCTTCCACAGAATCAGTTACAAAAGTAGCATGTTTTAATTTTGGACCTGTCACAGGGATTTCAGCTTGAGGCATTGTACTAGAAAATAAGCCACTTACATCACGATACACAGTCAACGTTTTTGTTGGTGGTACTGTATCAAAGTTGGTGGGTCGCATGACTACAATTCTTCCTGTTGATTTAATAGTCAGCACTATCACCTGTCCGTCACTGGTTAACAATACAGCATAGGGATTACTGCTAGATCCATGTATGATTGGAGAACCAAATTCTAAAGGAACGTTTTGAACTTGTTCTGACCCCTTGATCAATTTCACGGAGTAATTTAAAACTTGTATGACATATTTATTCATATTGCACACAAAAACCGTATGCTCTCGCGTTGCAAAACCTGAAGAATCTAATTCGTTTATTTCTTGTCCAGTTTGTAGTACTAAAGTTGAATCCAAGTTGGTTAATATCATAAAAGAATGAAAATCATTTTCACCGTACACTGTCCACATGTCTTTGTAGCCATCCAAATGAAAAGTAGTGACAAGTTGAGGTTTGATGGAACGATGAAGGACACTTAGCGCTCCATTTTTTCCATGACCAGATGTACATAATAGTTCCACATCATGTTCATCATTACTCAGTTCATCTGAAATATACGCTGGTTCTCCTAAAGACGCTTGACTACATGGTCCAATATTTATTATACTATCACAGACTTCGAAACTGTAACTTTCTAGACAAATAGATGTCTGTATTTCACTACCATATACTTCTAATTCAATGAGATCTTCATCAGTTACATCAGCTTTTTTACGTTTAACACTAGGTTCATCATCATTACTTTGAGACCGTGCATAGTATCTCAAAAGTAGAGAATTACCAAGTCTTGAACCCAGAAACAAATAAGAATCCAAGCATACTGTTATGCATGTAGTTAATACACTAGAAGCACATTTTTCAAAATGAAAACTTCTAACTGCACGCATACTATCAGCGTACAGTGTAATTACATAGAGATCACCGTTACACAACGATGTCACTAGTTTATTACTAGCTATGAAAGTGGCAGTAGCACGGTCTAAAACGAGATTAACGTCTTCTTGTTGTCCTAAAGGAAAGTTGGTCATTGTTTTGGTTATGGAATTAAGTGCAACACCGAATGGAGGTACACTTTGATTGAGATATATGAGCGAATTTACTGCCATAATCAGAACACCGCCAATTGGACGACACACCGGAATGACCTTTTGACAATCGTATGGAAGCGAATCCAATGACCAAATGACTGGATGTACATGTTGTTGAATATTTAATGAAATAGCTACCTATAAATACATATGAAAAATAAAAAAAACAATTGTTAAGAATCATATCAGGATTGTAATAAGTACCGACATATAATTAAAGTGACACTTACCATTGCGCATGTATCCTTCCTAACAACTATACGTCCAGAAGAAGTTTGAACCGGTTCAAATAGAATTAATAACGTTGGTTCATAATATCCATGTAAGAAATCGAAATCTAGAATATTATTCATCTTGGGATCTATCGTTTTAATCGGTACTGTATAGCTAGGCATGACTTGAGCACTTTTACCGTGATCGTCAATTGTACGACCAAACGGTAGAACGACGAAATAACGTCCATAAACCAGACCGACCACACATCGACCATCTGGATCTACTCTGATCAAAGGAGGTATCCAATGTTGGGTGGTACCGTCTTTAAATTTATCGTCTTCGAAATAATGCAACGATAACGTACGTAGATTGTGATTATCACGATCGTACTCGACCAAACTGAACTTGGCTTCAGAGAAGCTGAGTAACAAAGCTTCGGGCGAATTCTGACACAAAGTAACAGACTGTAAGCACATGATATTACCGAACAAAGTGTACTGAGCCAGGCATTCAAACTTGGTTTTGGGCGGCTGACATGTCGTGTCGGTTGGGACTAGCCTGTAGACGCGGAGAATGTTGACACCGGCAACCACAAGACATTTTTCGACGCGGTTGAAGAAGTAACAATAAATAGCATGCTCTACGGACGTCGGTATACGAGTTTGTTTGCACATAGAAAACATTATGGTCAGTTTTCAGTACATTTGCTTCATAGTACACTGTGTTAACGTTTAAATTAGAACACTCGGTGTTACGCGGGATGGCACGGCGCCGACATAAACACAGTTCTTTCGCAAACTTGATAATACGCGCGATTAGTGTGACGTCATATTATCTAATAACAATCCTTATCAAATACGATTTGATGTAAACAAATAAAACATATTATGTGATGCAAGGTAACCACGATTAAAAATATACCTTAGGTATTATAGTACTTATGAGTTTATTTTATTGCAAAAAATTTCATATGAGTATTCCTTATTAATAATAGTCAAATCATGGTTTATAACTACTCATATTTTAATATAAGTGTTTAAAAATATATCATGTGTGCTTTCAATGGTACCTACCATATTAAATTGTTTGGATCCAAATTATACAGTGATAACAGTCTGATAAGAAGAGCATTAACGGACGTATACACTGTGGCGGGTTATTGATAAGAACGATGTAATCAGAGAGGTTGTATCACAATCATCCAATGTGACCACCTATCGTTATTGAAATTATAGGATATAACATCAGTGCCAACACTGCAAACTAGATAACTGCTAATCACGATTTAGATAAAGTATTTTATCTGCATCGTACTGCTGACACTATTGCATTTTATCCAATTATCAATTGGTCGACGACTTGTTTACCTCTGCCATATTTTAATTTTTTAATAATATTTTAGTGACCTTTGCATTTTTGCCATGACTAATCAAATGGTAATCGACGTAACTCCTACCCCTTAACATTTTAGGGTTATTCCTCTTTCTCGGCCATTATTTACCCTTCCTCCCCTAAATAATCTCCATAAATCTCTCTTCTCACCATCAATAACGCTTAATATCTATGTAGGTACCTACCTATGACATTGGCAATCTTGTATTACTTTTTGGTATAAGTAGGTATACAATATCGTATATAACAAATTGTGTGTTATTTACCTATCTTTTTTATTATTTATGTTAACCTATTGGCTGGATATTCGATACCTACCTAAAGTGGCGTAACTAAGGAAGGGGTGTTGAGCACCCTATTGTTTTTGTTTTTTTGTTTTTTTTTTTCTGGTAAGGTTAAGAAGGTTGTAAACATTGATAAATCCTGGTTACACCACTGCTTATCTATATAGACACACATTAAGCGAGTAAGAAGTTAGTAGGTGTTAGACTTAGAATAATTTATCGTACATCAGTAAATCAGTGCGGCACAAAACAGCCACACCTTCACCACAATGCTATTAAATAGGTACCGATTAATTTAATAATTTTACTAGTACTCTTTATTCAATTTATTTATTGAACAAAATTGTATTTAATATATCTAGGTACTTACCTGTACCTTAAGGTTATCAGTGGTTAGCAGGATTTGTATATGCGCATGAGTACTCCTATTTTATCGTCGATTAATCAAACAAATTTGGATAAACAAAAAATTATTTTAAACTCAAATTTAAAATAAATAATATTTGTATTCCTAAAGCGAGTAAATCAAATTATCAAAACCATTTTAAATTAAAACATTTTAATCAAAACCACAATCTACAGTTCATGAATTGTGCAATATTTTCACTGATTAGCACCCCTAAGCACCCCTCATTTTTATACGCGCTTATGCCCACCTACTCAATAGAACGTCAACATTTCTAGAAAGTATTTTAGAACACGGAACAATAAATAATAACGCTGTTATAATATGTGATAACTATACCTATATATATATATATATATATATTTCTTTACTTCAGGTACCTACCTAGTTTAGGTTTAATAAACGCAACATAGAACTGACCGCGGAGATAAACTTTAAATAATTCTACCTATACCTATATTATTATAGCAGGTAATAGTTATGTTTTCGGTGCGAAAACCATTAGGCGAAACAAATAACCAAAGTGTCTTACCGGTTTTAAAACATAATATATCTATCTACACAATATAGATACATAATTAAATTAGCCGACTAACTGACCTGAACTATGTACCAGGACGAAACCCGCAAACTTATCCACACCATATAAAACACGTTCGTTATGAAGTCCACTATATTCCACAAGTCGGCTATGTATTCTACCAGACCGTCGGAGTACAGCGAATGCGCTTCTCGCCATATTAAACCTGCGGATTTTATACGGATTGTAGTATAGGGCACTCGAGTAATTTTTTTATGTATATTACGTGTTTAAAATCATAAAGGACCAATATAATATAATAATATAATGTAATATAATGTCTTTCATTATAGATGTATGCGCTATATTCTATGGTCTGTGTTCGTGGTAGGGAATCATTACTTACTTATGATGTATAATATGATCCCGGCTTCTATAGGCCCGGGTATGGATCCCCTTTCTTTTCTAGTCATTTCCTCTAATATCGATCTGGTCCATTCGGTATCGATCCATTCCAGTGCTAAAAACTCGGCTCTCTGAGACGCCAGTGCCAGTAATGCTGTAATACAAAAAAAAAAAAAATAACGATAACAATACAACCATATTATCAGCGTGACGTGTTAAAACGTAGAAGTAAACGCTTCTCGATATAGTCACGTACTTAAAAAAAACGCGTACGATGATGAATGGCAAACAAATTTGATAAAAGGTTTCTTCATTAGCTGTCCCATTTTCGAATCTGGATTTAACATGTACATCGAACCGTACATCGGAAACATCGCCCCGAGTTTGCCGACTTCGATCATTTGCCCGACCATACTTTTCCGACGAAAACCCGGTAAACCGTCGTACCAGATGGCGGCCAACAATTGCTGAACGTTTGGGTGCGCTACAAACTAAAATTTTGAAACAATAATTGTAAGTTGGGAAAATAGGATACATACATTTTTTATTTAGTTTATAAACTATGTCCGTTAACGAAAAACGATTCTGGCCAATGTTCGGTTATACATTTTTTTAAAAAGCCGTAATTTGTACCATTTTCGCAAATATTTGATATTGAAATTCTTATAAACAAAAAAAAAAATACTACATTAAACTCAAATGTTTCTCATTGACCACTAAGTACAACTTATAATGAATCTCGTGTTAAAATATCAAGTATTTCTGTTAGGTCAAACAATTATATTCACATAATACTTACCAAATAAAAAATGAAAAACTAGAAAGTATCAAACGATTATAAATAGGTCAAAAATCGCCGGAATGTTTTGAAAATGTTAGGTATCACTTAGAAAAGGCACTAATATAAGTATTAAAATTGAAAGACAATGAAAAAGCTAACCAAAAAAAAAAAAAAGAAACCGTTTATATCGTTAACTTTCTCGTTTTTCCTACGTTTTTTCCCAATTAATAAGATTTACAATAAACATCAACAAATGACCTTTTTATGCGCCAACTAGACAAAATTTTCTTTTGTTTTTCTTTTATTAAAATTGCTGCTTTTTGAAATTTAAAACAAAAGTACTTTTAACAAACAAAAATCATAAACATTTAAAATATTGAAATGTTAACGCCGAAAATATACGTTTGTTCCTCTTCCCTATATGTATTTTCCGGTTTTTCACAATTACTATGAAAACCACTTGGAAGACTTGGTAAACTTGGTAAAAATACCCACCTAAATACACCAACTAGACATAAAATATAATAAAAAATAACTCTTGTTATATTTTGATCGGAGCAATTTTTCTGGCAGAAAAATTATTTACTGATAAAAAAAAAAGAACACATTATTGTTAATTCAATGGATTCCTCGCTACGCTCTAAAATTGTACAAAAATGATTACTTTATGATTCGAATGATTTTTGTTCACGATGTTTTATACTAAAAATATTCTAATCGAATAGCGACCGATTTTTGAATTATTTTGTGATCGATTTTTTCCCTTTGAATATACACATGGCCATTGACAGAGAGGGTCATTTTTTATTTTTTTTTATATTATCTAAAGCAATTTTCATAATAACTGGAAAAAATCAAAAAATACGATTTTTTTTTTTAAATTCCGTCAACGATTTAATTATTTTAAATTTTACGGCTTATGCTTTCTTAATAACAATAGACCTCTCTTGTTCCATATTTAATCTTATTTGCGAGTAAGTCATTTGTTTGTGGTAGTTTTTGTAACAATTGAGAAAACCCGGAAAATTACGAAAAATGAAAACTGATAAATTTACGGCGCTAAGGTTCCTTTATTATACATTTTTACGATTGATGTTTTTAAAAAAAATGTTTCTTCAGTAGAAAATAACAAGACGCATTGTTAACCTAGTTGGTAACCAAGATAGTCGTTTTTTTAATGAATGTGTAAAATCGAAAAATCCGTAGAAAGAACAAGAAAATTTACGAAAATAATTCTTTTATTTATTTATTATTATTTTAAATTTTGTTTTTTTAATGTAATTCAGTTAAAGATATTTTGTAGAAAACCAATTTTTGTATTTTCTAGACGTGGTCAAATTTTCAAATTTTTATTTTAGCTATTTTTAAATTATTTAGAGACATTTTAATTTTGCAAGTTTTTTACGTAATTTTTATTTGGTAGGTACTCTGTTGATAAAGTTGTTACATTAAACAGAGAGGCTTGAAAATTGGACAGGAGGTTCATTATAAGTTTTATTTGAAGGTAAAAAATAGTTTAAAAGAGTTTAATATAGTTTTTTGTATAAGTTCAAATTCAAATTTTAACGAAAATTGTAAATATTATACGGCCTTTCAAAACATTTACAATCGAAAATCGCTCCGAATCGTTTTTCGTTAGCAATGATGGTTTATTATTGGTAACAGGTATAAATCAAATAACTTTATATCCCACCATCCCAACTACCACCTGCAACAGTGGCCGCATCCGTTTAAAGTATCAGCACATTTTTTTTTACAATTTATATTTACGATAATGTACCTTATGTGTGTATAAATTATAATTAATTATCTTTGTAAACTATACGACGCGCAACGTGTTAAAAACAAATCGTCTACAATGGCGCAGCCAAGGATTTTGGGTCGAAGGGGATGAGATATAATTTCAAAACATTATAAATGTATGTCTAAAATCATATTAATTATCTAAAATAACAAAAATAAAAATCCGTTCTCTATTTTACTTTTTTTTTAAGTACGAGCATACTCGATTTTCAAAAAAAAAAAAAAAAACTATTTTATAACAATTCTATACCCACTAACATATAAGTGTTCATAACACATGGGACATACGGAGCTTTGCTAATAGGTAAAAAAGTGGAAGTAACATTTTGACAATATTGTTCGGGAACGTACAAAACAAATAAAAAAATACCGTTTCAACAAATTAATATTTTGATGAATATTTATGAAAAAGTTTATAAAGTTTTAAACTTTGTATACTATGTTGATCTGTAATAAGTTGTTACATGAAAATTTACTTAAATTATAATATTTAATAATTTATGGCACTTATTCTAAATAAAAAGTTAACAACTGAGCACGGTCGTGTTTAAATTAATTTTAATGTTTTTCTTTCTATGCTTATATCGGTACATTTTAAACTATCGCTACTTCTAACATGTTTTTCCATATCTCCCCCACGTCTACCAAAGAGTTGGAATTCTTTCGGTATTTTCGTTTTTATTAAAGTAAATTTGATTAAATATTATAAAATAATCCGTTAGATTTATAATAAAGTATAAACGACTGTCGTTTACGCCATTTTATTGTTAATAAAACTAACTTTTTTGAAATGTATAGATATGAAAATTTAATTTTGACTAAAAGTGTCGCCTACGTCCTATTTACGCATAATTAGTGTTCGGTACGCAAAATTAAAACCATGGGATTCAGTCACCGTCTATATTTTGTCCAGTGTCCCTGCTATGGCCATTCATTTGTATTTTATTCTTTATTAGTATAATTTAGTAATTTGATATTCCATATAATTATTATTGTATTTATCTACGTTAATTTATTTACTGCATGGTATAAGTTATTACAAAAATATAGATAGCATACAATGGCCATAGAACGGGAAAATATAATTTTTAAATATTAATACTAATTTTTTACTCCATAGTGTTTTTAATACTGAAATTCGAACTCTGTGTTGGCAAACTTATAATGTATATTATATCATATTATTTATGATATTTTAATTTTTAATTTTTTTTTTTCAAACAACCATAGATGATAAAACCACCCGAAACAGTGGCCTACTCATAGGTAATGCCATTATTAATTGTATAACGTGTGTAGTAATCGTAAATACAATAAAATGTGTTTTTCTTGTTAAACAAATAATTATGTTATAGTATTTTGCTCACATTTTGCTATTTTAATTTTTAAATTCGTGAGGTTAAGGTGCTTAGACCCCTGGCCCCTACGATACAATCTATGTATTTTTATAATATACATATGTAAGTGTGTGTGTGTGTGTTCGGGAAATAAATCCCCCTCACCGCCAATACGAACATTTAAGTTCTACTGAAAAGCAACTTCTAACTGTCTAACTAGTTCGAATACGTTTTCTACTACTAAAATATATTATTACAATTGTGTACATTTTATACAGTCAAACAAGTATAGGGTATCAAGATTGATCGTGATTAATTTTTGACCAACGCCTGTATCAAACGGCAACTAACAAACCTAATGGTTTATTTAATAATTATTTTAGAATATTTTTTTTTTTTTTTTACAAAAAATATCTAAAACCTATGTAATATTAATCAAAAATAAAGTTATAGCCTACGCTTAAGCCACACACTATAATGTAATATTACCGCTTTTTGTTTGTATTTGATAGCCAGTTTCAAACGTTCTAGCGTCAGCCTCTCACCGGGTTCCCACGGATCTCCTTTGGGATTGTGATTTAACATTATCTCCAGCTCGTACGACGTCCTTACGTGATCCAACAACGACGTGGCAAATGTCTGAACGGTATTCCTCATTTCCTGTTGACAGACACGTCCGATCAGTATGATATGAATATTATATATTTGGTTCTAGGGAAGAAGGTAGTATCGTTAATTATCATTGGTATCCTAGGACAATCATCATGTCGGGTACCTAAACTTGATATCAATCTACAATTTAACACCCCATAAATTTATACCCACTTTACCCCCTTAACACGACCGTGGAAGAAGAGTTTATATCATTTTTGTATAGTTTTAAATACAAGTCAATTTAATTTCAAGTATAATAGTGTAATAGCATAATTAATAGCTTAATTCGCCAAATGGCTAAATTGCTCTATAATAAATATACCTTTTTTGCCAAACAAAATTTACATCATAGTGACTTGAGCTATTTAAATTTTCTGTATAATATGCGTTAGAGTATAGTAATATACCTACACTTGCGTCATTTAAATCACAAAATAAAGGAGAAAAAATAAAATAAAACAAATTTGTAAATAAAAATAAAAATTGACTTATGCTCTTCTTTCCTGTGACAATATATACAGTGGCACGATAAGGATTATGTGATATCGTCTTAGAACTGAAAAAGATTGTGGATTGGGCGAAGAGTGCCGGGCTTCTTTCCCGGTTACCAAAATTATTTTTTTACCTTTATTTAGTAAATATTGTGAATTATGGCGTTCCAATATGATATGAAATAATTGTGTAGGTTGGTGTCGTTGAGGTGTACTTACATTATATTCGTTTCTGAATTCGGATTCCATAGTGCTGAGTCTACGGAGTTCCCAGCTCAACTCGAAAGCGGTCAGCAGGGGGTCTCTAGACGAGAGAGCTATAAGGGACGGAGAAGACAGCGCTTTGTAGGCATTTATTCTCGAATGGGAGTGGCGCAACGAGTCATGTGTGTTGGATGTAATACACTCATCACAGCCGCACCTGAAATGCGCGGGAGTTTTCAAATTTTATACAAAATAGTAGGTTTTGCAAGTATTGTTAATATTTAATAATAACGAAAATCGAAAATGTGTGACCTAAACATAAACAGCTTAACAAAAAAAAAAAAACTAAAATTGTTTATTAGACCTTTTAACTGCCGACCGATAAATGGCCCATTTAAAAAATATCAATCATTAAGATCGGCTTAAGAAAATCGCTATGCATATTTATTATAAACGGTTTAAGTATCAGGCTTTCAATGCAATGAAAGACTAATCCTATCTCATTTTCTACCTTTCCACAATTTTTTGAAGAAAACTGTGAACTTGAAACTGTGAAAAAGTGAACTTCAATTTCTTTCTTTAAAAAAAAAAACCATGGAAAATTATTGGCTTTATTTGTTAGTTCGTTATTAAAGTGAAGGCCTCAATTATTATTGAATTAAATATAATTGTATCACTATTGTAACTTAATGGTGATTAATTTATGACTCGGGACTTATTGCACTTAAAATTCACAAAAAAGTTCTTAAAAACGTTAAAAAAGCCTTGAAACACTTTAAACAAATATTATTAGATTAAATGGTAAAAGAGTTTAAATGTTCTCTGTTTAACGACTTTAAATTATTAAATATAATTTTCTAACACGACACAAATTATTAAAAAAATATTTTGTTTGAATCAAATTGTACGTATTTAAAAAAAAAAAAAATAACTCTGGGTCAACTTAGTTTTGTAGTGTTCGAAAATTGTATTAGATAAGTTAAAACCATTAAAGGGGGGAAATTTAAACTCTTCTACCGTTTTTGGTTTTTTTAAATATTTTTCAATTTCTTTTTTCAGAGCTTTTTTGACGTTTTTAAGTGGTTTTTTGTAGAATTTAAGTGCAATAAGTTCCGATCCCTATTGATTATCATATCATCATACCCAATGGCGTACGGAGTAGGCGTACAGAGTACGGGGCTTTCAGTATAATTTCTAACTAAATTAACTTGGTTAGAAATTATACATAAAGTGAACTAAGTTAATAGTTCACTTTAACAACACGTTTTTTTTTTTTTTGTTTTTGGTAGGTCGGTATTTTTATTTCGATATTAACTTACCAATATCAAAAAATACCTCATCTTGTACAATTTTGAAATAGGTAGGCGTTGTTGCTGTATCAGCGACAATAAGTAACTTATTAATGGGTGGGTGGTCATTTCCAGTTTGAATAAAGGCTGGATAGCTTTTAATTTTAAAAGACAGCTACCATTACCTAACGATCTTAAATATAAATTTTCAAACGACTCGTGACTCCGACACTAATTCAGTATACATAAAAGTATTTAGGTACCTCTTAAACACTTAGTAATTTATTATCTGTAAGGTGAAACGTCGGAAAACGCGTAGGTATAGTTGGATCGTTTTCGTATTTATTCATTAAATTCGTTCACCATTAAACCTATGTTTACACAATAACGATACAAAATAAATACAATAGTACTTTTGAAATCAACACACCCGTACTAGTAAAATATTATTAACACAGCCTATGACTTTTAAACCGCGATCAAGTAATATTAATAATATTATAGTAAAAATAAACCATAATACTATTATAATTCATCTATAACAAATTCAAAATTACTATTAAAAAAAATCCACTATGAGCTGTAAATAGTTGTGTAGAAGGACATGCGATCGTTTCATTACTGTCTACACTTATAACTGCAGTAGGTCACACGTCTACCTATTTGCATTTAACATTATATTATGTTTTATTATGATTATTTGATTCTATCGGTTTTGGACATTATAGATTCCTACTACTTCGTCGCACCACGTGGTGTAATTTAATAATAATAATATTATTTTTTATTGTTATTACTATTATTTTACTCGATGAATATTAATCGGTCGCTGCAGTAAATATACATAATATATTAACTTTATACGAGTAAGACGAACCTGACGTCGTGAGGCATAGGTAAAGTGGCGCCTCTGTCCAAAAGAATTTTTAATATTTCATAGTTGTTCATGTGAGCCGCCAGCGTTAGTGGCGTTATGTCGGGCGTAAAGGTCGAAGCCGACGATTCCACCGCTTCCCACGACTATAATATGAGGAAAAAAAATGTTGGATTAACTGGTGTCCGTTAGTTTCCTGTTATTAAATATATACCAGTGACTCTCAACCAGCAGTGTGTATATCGCATTATACGTATACGTATTTATATTTTTTTTCAGAAGACAATTTTATCAAAATATATGTATTAAATTGTCCGTGTTTCTAATATACCATATTGGTTCGGTAAATAGTTGAGAACCACAGAGGTAAATTTGTTCCCGACACCTGGTTAAGTTAAATTAGGTTAGGTTAAGTATGATACGGACTCACGTATGGTTCACCGATGACGTGTATTTTTTCCTCCCATTCAAGTAACAATTCCACCGCTTCCACGTATTCTTCCTTGATGGCGTGTAGCAACGCGTCTTTCACCATGATCCCGGCTTTGAGCAACAATTGTATTAAGTCCATGTTTTCATTTTCTATAGCTGTTATCAATGCCGATCTGTTCAACGGGTCCGTGCAGTTGATGTTGAGTATATCCGGCTGACCTTTGTGTTCGTCCAACAACCTGTACGTTATTATTTTGGTTTTAGTTTTTTATTTAATTTTTTGTTTGTTTTCTAATATCTAAATCGGATTTTTAAAACACATGTTATTTGAAATCGTTCAAATTCTTAATTATAACACCAAAATGTATTGTAAAATGGAACTCTGAGTTAATTAGTTTCGTAATCATAATATATAATATAATATAAATTATGTACGAGTACGTCTGCAGATACTTATTTTTGCACGCACAAACTTTTAATCATTTAATCATACATTATACAGCTCATCGAAGTAAAACAAATTCAAAATTGTAAACCTAATATATAATGTGGTATTACCTATACATACCTACTTAGTCTGTTAAATATCAGTGGTACATATAAGTTATATGCATTATTATATCACTGGTTGCATAATATAAGCACTTTTACTCCCTAAAAATCGGAATAAATCAGTGAAATTCTGATGAGATTAGCCACTATATTTATACTCGTTTGTGTAGTGAAAGACGATATTTTCGAATACTGAGAGTTTTCACAACATTTTAATATGTAATTTTTTAGTTAAAAATCAAAGTTAAATAGCTACTTTAATTTTTCAACTGAGAACCTATATGTTGTAATACAAATCGTCAAGTGATTTTTCTGAAAATGTCAAGGTATTCTAATCGAAATTTTAATAAAAAGTTTTTGAGTTATTCTTCTTTAAATACTAAGGACAATATCATAAAATCGGTTTTTGATAACTGCTCGATTCAAAATAAGAAATTGTCTATGCACGACTCTTAGTAAATTGTCGGTATCCAATCCCCATAAAATACTATTATCCTTAATGCAGTGGCGCCTGCCACATCTAATTTAAGGGGTGGATATACCATCTAGCATTGGTAGTTTAGAATAAAACATTGTACATTTTACAAATAATACAAGGAGCATAACAAATAACGCGAACTAGTCCATTCTTAGACTGCCGTAGCGTGTACTAAGTGATTGCATTATAGTAAAAGCAGACAAATATTTAATTTTAACTATAACCGTTAGTTTTACGATAAATAGTCGCTAATAAATTTCTAAATTTACAAAAGCGTCTACATTTAGGCTACACCAAGGTTATACTCGTATACAGTAAAAACATTTACACGATAATATTGTTATTGTTTAACTATTTTTGGTTTTAATATCTGAGATTATATAATTTTGTAGTAAAAGAATAATATAACTTTGTATACATTTAGAAGATAAAATATATTATGCTAATCAAACGAAAAACAATGACCATATTATTATATTTTTATTGAAAAATACGGACATACTTCGCAAGATGGGTAGGTTACAGTTATAGTTGAGTAGTTGGGAGGGTAAGATAGAAAGAAGAATTTAATATGTATCTGTACGTAACGATTAATTAACAAAAACTACTCTGAGAAAAGTTCAGTTATACATGGTTTAAAAGGTCGTAGGTAATGTTTACGATTTTCGTCAAAATTTGATATTTAAAACCTTACTGAAAAAAAAATACTACATTAAATTCAATATTTTCTTGTTAATTAACTATTAATTACAATTTATAATGAACCTCCTATTGAATTTTCAAGCATTTCTGTTTGATCTAGCAATTTCATTAAAATAATACTTACCGAATAAAAATTACATGAAAAACTCCCAAAATTATAATTATTATTAGCTCATTTATAGCTTAAAAATGGCTCAAATATTTTTAAAATTTTACTATGATTTAATTGCATTAAAGAACAAAATTTAAAATAATAAAATCATTATTTTCGTAAATTGTTCGCCCTTTCTACGTTTTTTTTTTTCGGTTTTACTCAATTATTAAAAAACCTATAAGGAAAATCAAAAAATGACTTTCTAACTCACCAACCAAATTAAGAATTCAATAAAAAAAATATTTATAGCAAAAAAAATAAGTCTTAAACATTTAAAATAATGAAATCGTTGAGCAGTAATTTGAAAAAAAAATCGTCTTTTTTGGTTGTTTTGAATTATTATCAAACATATTTTATATAATAAAAAACGACTTTCCTTTTTAATAGCTGTATTAAAAGGAACAAAATCGTTTTCTCATAATTTTCCGATTGGAGCAATAATTCTGATACAAAATAGCATGTATACAAATATAAAATAATAAAATTTAACCTATAACCTAACCTAACGTCATGGCGCTATGTAAATATTTGTCGTTTTAACTATAATTTTCTTTAAGGTTTTCCTAATTATTTTGAAAACCCCTTAAAAAATCAAAAATAGACATCTTTAATGTGCCAACTAGACAAAATTACCTTTCAGAAAAAGTGTTACACTCTGTGTTATACACATCGGAGCAAGATTTCTGGAAGAAAAGTTGTTCACAGGCATAAAAAAAAAAAAATTATAATACAAAAACACGCATCATAATAAAACCAATACAGTAGAATACGCTTAATAGGAACATATCGGTCGGTAACTTATTCGTCCTTATTATCCAACTGTCCCAAGTAGCCGAATTAATGAAAAAAAAAAAAAATAAAATAAAATATTTAAGTATGTATACATACATAATACCTTTTTTTTTAAAGTATTAAGAATAGTATTATTAAACAGTAATAGTAATATTAATTAATTAATTGATTTATTTATTAACACATTTATTATAAATTAATTGATAAACCGACTAATTTTTTCAATGAAGTTGAGTTTTTATTTTATCCAGTATAGAAATTTTACCAATCAACGTTACGAGCGTTTGAGACGGGACTAATAAAAACGTACGTTAATACACAGAACCGAATAAACGTGAACTAAAACTTATTGATGAAGTAATTTTATACGTAGGCTAGTCGTCTCAGATCCAGATTTTTGTATGAGAATTGCATGAGAAAATAATATGCATAATGTATTTAATGTATTATATTATATTTTAAATGTATCTGTGTTGTAAAAAAATAGTTGGGTTCTCCTCAGATCTTTGCTCTGGATCCACGTCTGGTCGATTCTTATCTTTGAGGAATACCTACGTGCTAATAGGAGAAAAATAAATGATGAAAAAAAAATAAAATAATACAAAACTATAAAGTTTATAGAAACATACAGATTGGATAAAAACAGTTTTGATAAAAAACGTAGGTATTTATAAATATACCCCTTATAACCGATGGTTTGTCCCTAACAAACGAAATTAAATCACTTGAAACGAATACATTCGTTCGGGACTATGCCAATTGGTCTCCATTAAGCAGTTGTTCCCTATATGTGGTGTCCCCAATAAGCGGATTCTACTGTATACTCCTGTGTATGTTAAATGTCAACATCGGTCTTCAATGACTGTATAAATAATTTTTATGCTAATTAAAAATTAAAGTACCTATGTATGCATTAAAATATTAAATGATGCAAAAATGCAAACATTATTCAGTACATAATATAATTTGTAAAAACAATATTTTATAGTTTAAGATATTGGTAGTAGGTGTGGAGGGCTATTCCCCCATAACTTAGGTTTTATACCATGTAGAGGTAGGAGGGTATAAATTAATGTTTATTACCACACATACAAAAAATTAGTTCGGCACCACTGATCCTCAGTATTTAAAGCAGAATAACTCAGGAAGTTTCGATCAAATATCGATTACATTTCATCATTTTCAGAAAAATTATCTGATTGATAATTTGCAGAAAACATGTAGGTAGGTTTTCATTAAAAAAGATTAAAGTAAAGATTACAGGATACTAATTAAATTCTATGAAAAATATAAGTATGCCAAAATACTGTCTGTATAATATACATTTAAAAATTCAAAAAAATGAATTTACAATACAAAATGGGCATGCCTAAAATATCAACCTTTTATATCGACATGTATATCTTGCTATATGCATGGAAACGAAAAAAAAAAAAGGACGGACATACTTCGCACGTGGGTGCAGTCACTGTTGTAGGTGGAAAGTTGATAATGTAGGTTACAATCGGGAATTTAATGTATTTCTGTTAGGAACGATAAACCATTGCTAACGAAGTTAGTTAGTCCGAGCGAAGTTCAGTTGATAGTGTTGCTTTGTCAACAATATATATGTATGTCATATTATGGTAAATGATTACAGCAATGTGAGTTTCCATGACAACAATAATTGTTTAAAAAAGATTAAAATAATAAAAACAAGTACCACCCAGAGAACATTTACTTTTGGAAAATGTGCTATACTTGATAATCGAAGTATGCTCTTTGGTAGAAAAAATGTTCACATAAAAAAAAAAAAAGAAACATGATCGTAAAACCAATACATTCCTCGTTCCACTTAGAATCTAAAAATCTACATAAACATAGTGGGGTATCTAAAGGAGGTGCAGGGGACTGCAGTGTCTTCCCTCCACCCGAAATTTCAAAAAAATCTTAAATTATGTATCTTGACCATACGTTAACGATTAACTAAATTCAACTATATTGATTGGGAATAATATTTTAAATATTCGACTAAAACAATGCACCTACACCGTATGAAACATTAAATAATAATGCTACGATAGAAAGTAACCTCCGACTAATATTAATTTACAACTTATCTATAACCGCGGCCAGTTACTAAAATTAAGAACTCGACCGAAATAAATCGCGCTTTTTGGCTTATATAGGTTTACACGAATATTATAATATTGTGCAGGCACCGGAGTACTTGTATTTCGTATTCCAAATATAATTTATTTGGTTACCTTTGAACGGACGCGCAGTCTCCTCGCTCGGCGAGTAACAGGAACTTTTTCTCGGTGGGCGACAACACATAGTCGGGCGGCAAAACGAACGATTTCCGATCTCCGCGCAGCTGCTCTTTGGAGCCGATGAGGTCTTCTTTGGACTGTGATATCGTCATGACGGAAACCTGTAAACACATCAACCGCGGCGACAACGTTGCGCAATATAATATTATGACATGTGACCATCATAAAAAAATGATAATAATAATAATATTAATATGTACCTACTTACTATCAGCTAATTTATTGTTTTTATTTTGTTTTCGTAACTCACGCGAGTAGGGAGCCACTGCGGCAGGCGATTCCCCAGGGGTCCGCGTAAACGATTACCTAAAACGAACTGTCCCGTATTGTACGGGAAAAAATTATAAGCACCGAGACCTGGACTCCACGGCTGCAGAAGCCTTACAGTAATAATATACTACGTTATACTTATTACCTATATTATTATATGTATATCAGTGTGCACTTTTGTAGCTACACGAGCTGTTTGTTGACCCGCGATTGGATTAGTGATGTTGACATTCGAACCAATATTATACGGCGAGTTTCAGGAAAGGAACCTAGATGTATAATATTATCATGGGCAAACTAGACATTTTCATGAATTTAAGTCGAAATATATCGATATCCTCAAACAAAAGTTCTATTAGTAACTCCAAATTAATGTACCCGCTTTAAAAATATTAACAGATTAAGTATTCAACAATAAGTTGACATGACGTATTCAATACATATTATTAATAAATGTCGACAATTAAATAGTAGCAAGTATTTGAACTCTCCAATGGCCTCATCAAATTATTAGCCATTGTTTCATAAGTTTTATCATAGAAATCGCCATTGTAACTTAACGTTGTACAAATATCTCGAACTTCACGAATCGAATGATTTTAAACTACTTTTACTTATTTTCAGTATTAATTGAATCGTATCTGAAAATATAAACCCCATTTGTATATTTTAGTTTAAGGATTAAGGGTGATAACTGTTGACATTTGGGCAAATTGACTGGCCCGATCAGTAGTTTCATCTATGCATATTATAATATAGCTTTTATTGTTACAAGTGCAGCTGACTTTTTGTGTATTATGCTGCCGAATCAGTGGCGTAATCAGACAAAAAAATTGTGGAAGTAGAGAGAAGTGAGGTTAATTTTACAATAATCTAATCCAATTATTCACAAAAAGTCAATTTTCCGATAAATTAAATTAAATTCTAACTAAAATGTACAGTAGTTGTCTGAGACATTTCGGGACGAAAGGGAGCTATGCTTGCACTGGGCCGAATCGTTCGGTACGCGTCTTGTTATTATGGCGTAAAAAAAAAAAAACAGTTTCGAAATTTGACGGCATCGGACGGGCGGAACTGAAAAAAATAAAAAATACCTAAACAATATATAATTCACGAGCGCGACGTGAAAATAATAATAAATTAGGTATCTCCGCGAAAAAGGATTTATAGAGTATTACCGCGCCGCGTTGATGCCGAAAAGGATTTTCACCGGACACGTCATAACGACAGTGGGAAAAAAAAAAAAAAAAAAAAATAAAAAATAATAGTACTTAATCCGTATATAATATTTACACCGTATTTAACAATAACGCGGCCCGATGACAATACAATATGAAGACGGAAGAGACGTGGAAAAAAATCAGTTCACGTACTGCAGACGCAAATCTGGCTGTAAATACCTAACCTTATGTTTTCGGACTCTTCGCACGTCGTCGTATTAATAACACCGGCTTTGCGGCGACCGGACACTGCACGCGGAGAAGAATGGCCGTTGCGGGGTTTATGTTTATATACAATGATAATAATAATACCCTTAAGAGGACGTGATAGCCGCGTGCGTTGTCTCCGTCTTTCAAACGCGCGACACAATATACAACATTTGAGTTCATCAGGACCAATTTTGCGCCGTTAGTTGTAATATTAGAGTGAATTGACCAAATATCATCTCAAACCTAAAACCCCTAAAAAGATAAGAACGTATTATTCACATCCACGGTATTTGTAGGTATGTACAATATTAAAAAGCTGTCCTAGGATAATGGGGACGGGTGCAGCCACTGTTATAGGTAATTTGACTTATATCTTATATACAACGATTAACCATCGCTAATGAAAAAACGACTCTGAACAGAGTTCGTTTGATAATATACAGTCGACAATATATATGACATATTGTGGTAAAATGGGAAAATCAAAAATTACCTCTTGAAAGTACCTCCCCAGTCGGTTTTTTTTTAGAAAAAATGCTATCATTGTAAATCGAACAAAATTTTTTGTAGAAAATTTGTCTACAGAAAAAAAAAATAACAATAAACGTCATTGTAAAACCAATACACTCCTCGTTCTGCTCAGAAACTAAAATGATTATAACTCGCTTATAAATTAAATTTTTGATTAAAAAATTGATACACACGAGACTGATAATAGGATTTGTAAAATTATACCTCTCTATCGATCTTTGCCTCTGACGATCGCACAAGATAAGCTTCTCGTCATTAAATTAGATAACGGATCAATTATATATTTAAATTAACAACACAAAATCGATGCTGCCGAACGACAATTTGCTATGTCGTATGACATCCTTTTAATAATAATAACAGTAATTTTAACGATGTGTGTGTGTGTGTGTGTGCGCGGGATACGCCGTTTGAAGAACGGAACGAATAATTATTACTGTATACAATATTCTATTCTTTCTATACTTGCAAATTTTAAGCGAAACAGCTGGGTTGACCTTAACATTATATACGCAAAACGCCACCGTTACCGTGCCATTATCCAATTAGAGAGTATAAAAGTCAAAGTCCATTAACAGTCAAAGTTTCGTTTAACTTAAGGGGCGGCGTAGGGTTTAATATTCATGTTCGTTTAATTGTCTAAGGATGTAAAAGGTATATATATATATATATACGCATATACTAACCGACGTCATCATCCGCACGAATATTATTATTACCCGTCGCGCGCTTATCAAAAGCGAGGTGAAACCGCGTAGGCAACTTGTCGGCTATAGGTATACAATGTGCCGGTATAATAACAGCTACAGGTCTCGGCCGGCACTGGACAAAGAAAATGATTGCACAAGAGTGATATAAGTATAATAGTTTTAAAGTTTGAGTAATGAATTTGATCATGTGTCGTAATAAGTTTGATCGTCTCGTTTATTGTGCAGATTTAATGTTGGTGTTTTTTTTTTTCTTTTTCAATCGGAAGTATTATATTATAAGAAATAATATTATTGCTCTCTTCTCGAATCTGAGTTTATAGTAACGCGAGTTATTATTTCGCAAATAAAAGTTAGTACCATTATACTACGCACAGTATACGTTTATTACGGTGGTGTGGTCAAGACTGTTGAAAATAATATTTCAAATAAGATAGCTAAACGATTTTATTATGTCTGGAAAAATAAAATCTAATTTATTTTCAGTATCTTCGTATAAATTGATAGTTAGTTTATGAAGATAGAATCACCCTGTATGTATGAATGGTATTTTTTTCGTGAAGCCCCGTACTACGGAAGCATCACGATAACACGACGATTTAGAAATTGGATTGAAACGCGTAACGGTAAAATTAAAAATATATTTGAGATAATTCCTTGTACGTTTACAAAAACATTTAGTTTTAAAATATAGCGGTTAAGTTTTGGAAAAACATAAAGCCGTATAAAGAGTTTCAGGGTAATCTGATTGATCCGTACAGAAGTAAAGGCATAGGTATACTGATTACAGTGTCTAATTTGAGAATAGATCCTGGATTTTTATATTGAATATCATTAAATTGTAATGTAACAAAGTGTTAACTAATTGATAATTTTGAATTTAAAAAAAATAATAATAATAATAATAAAATAATATTCCGTGATTCTATAATCATTGTGTAAAATACATTCATGTGTTATCTTAAAATTGTTAATTTGTAGAAAAAAAATTAAATGCGTCTAAAGTGAGATGGATGTATACGTTAATTGTATATCAACGCACACCCTTCCGACGGACAGTGAATGCATTTTTTTGTATCCATATGTAAAAAAATAAATGCCAAATATAACCTAATTAAATAAAACAAATAATTTAATAGGGTATAGATTTCATCCAAATTAAATAATTATTTTTTTAAAACTGTCGATTTTGATAGTTAATCCAGAACTATCACTGTCTGGTATGTTCGTACAATACACGCACAGATAAGACAAAATAAATTGTCTTAAAGATATTCAATACGATTACACGTGACAGAAACACTTAAATTTAAAAATCATATAAAATCAATAAATATATATATTAGTTGAATCAATGTGAAAAAAAATGAAATTATTTCTGTTATTATCACTTAGTGTCAGTCAAACCATTTCGTCACGGTAGGGAGGGCTAAGAGTAATTTTTTAAAAACTATTGCTATTCACACGATTTTTTTTTTATAAATATTGAAAATGAGGTTATAGAAAATAAATCTCCTAATCCCCCCCCATTTTACCGTCCTTCTTATCATTGTATGGACGCGTGTTTATTCCGTTTCATGCATTACTGATTGTTTTTTTTTTTTAAACACGAGAAAATATTAAATTATATATTTACCTATTTCATTATTTATATATTGAAAGGAAGATTATTATTTTTATATTAAATATTAATGCATTACACGTTTTTATTCATTTTTTCCTCCAAAATTAATAAGGAAACTACAAAGAAAATCAAAAATAAACTCCTTATTGTACCGACTAGAGAATATTTTCTTTCCAAAAGAATACTACGTGAAAATCGGAGCAAGATTTCCGATAGTAAAAACGTTGTTCACAAACAGACAGGAAAAAAAACACATAGTGAATCCCTATGTACATTTCTCAGAATCTAAAATAATATTAAAGTATTAAATTCGATATGTTTTACTTATTGATAATATTATTATTAATTATTATCTACGTTAACTTTTCAAAATAAATTTATTTATTTAATCTAATCCGTGTTAAAACTTACCTATTAGACGGTTGCGCGAAAAAATTATTAAAATACTTTGAATTCGCTTATTAATGAAGCACAGTGCACCGTTGTGAAAAATAACATTAATAAAATTTAAAATTGCATGAAAACTTAAATATGCAAATATTACCTTTATTATTGTGAATTACAATATTTTTTTGCGAACATTTTTCTTGCCATCGGGTAACAAATATTTATAATCGTAATATAACAATGATGTATGAGGACTGAGGGCTGTTGATTCATCGGGCAATTATGTAATATTATTATTATTATTATTAACGTTTTCCTATTTGTATTTATTATTAATACTACAGACATTCGCGACAATATTAATATAG